ACAGGGTTTCTCTGTGGCGTTAGAGGCTGTCCTGGAACTTGCTCTGTAGACCAGGCTGGCCTCGAACTCACAGAGATCCACCTGCCTCTGCCTCCCAAGTGCTGGGATTAAAGGCGAGTGCCACTGATGCCTGGCTCCCAATGTGTTCTTGAAACATGGCTGATCATGAAACAGGAGGATCATGGCTGTAAATCCATGTTGCTTTTATGGGTTTATCATCCAGAGGCCAGCCATTTTCTTAAGAAACTAGGATGAGGTCACATTTAGAGTAATTCTAGAATACCAGCCCTTCCCATAACAACTGGAGCACCTCCTGGCATATTGGAAAAATTACAGCTGTGTAAACACATCACTGTTTCCAGAGAGTCCTGGACTCTGCCAGTGGTGGTTGTGGAAAATTGGTAAGGTTGTGTCTTACTTTAAGCAACAGAATTACTACTTGGGAGTTGGAAAATATTTCAAAGTGGCTTTTCAGTATTTCTTGTGACTCCCAGGAGGTATAAAATCCTATAGTTTTGAAGATGATTGGCTCCTGGAAGCGGCCAGGTCCAGCCCTCTCCCCTAGTGAAACAGTTTGCTTCATGTTGTCCCGGACTCACCCCCTTTCATCTGGTGTGGGGAGGAATTCTTTCCAAGCTTAGCAAGGCACTCCATTTCTGCTCATAGGACTTTGAGTTTAAAAAAGTCTTTTACCTTGAGCCAAGATTTGGTCTGCTTTGTTCCCCCATCCCTCTTAGGCACAGGCCATTGGTACTGAAGAGGAATGGCCTCCTCAGTACCTCATGAAAGCAGCAGTGGCTATTTCTGGTCTGGCTTTCTGTACAAAGCCTTCTACCTCCCTCACTACACAGTTCGCTCTGCTGGCACTCACCCTGTGGGTGCGCCTGGGCTGGTCCGTGTGGATGAATGAAGTACAGGTTAGATGTTGGCTTGCCATTTCTTTGTTTCCTTTTGCACCTTTTATTACCATTTGTTCTTCCAACTTTAAGATGTTGCCATGAGTGGAATGAGTTACCTGTTGTTCTCCCTAGGTGTAGCTTAAGCCATCAGATGGCAGTATCTTCACTAGGGTCAGGCTTGGTTGTTGACAGTGAAAGAGTCTTGATTTGGCAGGAGAGGTGGCTCTGAGGGTTAAGATTGCTTGTGGCTCTTGCAGAAGATTGGGGTTTGGTTCCCAGCACCCACGGGTGACTCACAACTGCCTGCAATTCCAGTTAAGGGTATCCAACACCCTCCTCTGGTTTCCAGTGATAGGTATATATGTATATATATACATGCATGTATATTCATATATATATATATATATATATTTGTATATATATTTATATATGGCGTACATGTAAATCCACTTGATTCAAAATGTAGTCCTACTCAGTTAACTTTTGCTAGGATGTATTTAATTTTTCTTGTTAGGGAAAGGTAATTTTTCTCTAGGCAAAGTACTAAAACCATTAAAAATAAGGTAACAGCTTCAAGTGCCTGTACCAATGTGCTAAAGATGTTTTTAGTATGAAAAAAAATGTCAAATGAGGATTTGGCCTTAATTGTGGGTCCTATACTGTGTCTGGGGCTCTGCACATTTGGGGAAAGCTGTAGGACCTCTCAGACAAGGTACATGGTGGACTTCAGAGGTGGGATTAGTGTCACACCTTCTGTCTGTTCACAAACAGGACACTCAGATTTGCCAGTTCTTGTCCGGGCGACCTTAAGAAGTTATCCACTTTATCAAGCACTCTCAGCAAGCACCTTTGAGAAATAAGCTAATGGATCCTTATGACAACACTTGGTAGGAAAACCCAGAGCCAAACAATTGTTACTGTATTAGGGAATGAATAGCCTCTGTGGAGTCTCCGAGAGGAATCTTTGATTGTTCTGGCGTAGCCCACTAACAGTGCCGTTACGCACCTTGCCAGCTGTCTGGCTGTCCTACCCTCCAGAGCTAGCTTACAGCTGGCCCTCTTCCCTGACCTTGCTTCTGGCCTTTGCTGGAAGCATGGCATCTCCACTTCTTCCCAGGTGTCTGCAGAAAGCTGCCAGTGTGAGCAGCAGAGTCTCAGGCAGGTCTGGGTCTGGTCCCCAAGATCCTGAACATTTCTCACAGTCACATGGGTTCAGCAGGCCCTTCTCATTACCCTCTTAACACCCCTCCGTCTCCATTTACACCCAGGCTCAGGTCTTACTTCCCACATCTGCCACTCATTCCTGTAAAATCTGACCTATCTGGCCTCCTAAAGTGAAGTACCCGAAATTTCCTGTAACCTTACTGTGGTGATATTTTGTTCATGATCTAACAAATAAAGCTTGCCTGAAGATCAGAGTGCAGAGCTAGCCACTAGTTAGCCATAGAGGCCAGGCAGTGGTGGCACACACCCTTAATCCCAGAGACAGATGAATCTCTCTGTGAGTTCAAGCCACCCTGGGCTACAGGAGATTGATCCAGTCTAAAAGAGAGGAGCCAGTTCTTGGGAGTCACACGCCTTTAATCTCAGCACTAAGGAGGCATAGACAGGGATCTGGCTGGGCAGAGAGAGGAATATAAGGTGGGAGGAGACAGGAGCTCAGGGCATTCAGTCTGAAGATTCTGTAGAGGTAAGAACTGGTGGTTGGCTGCTCTGCATTTCTGATCATCAGCATTAACCCTGATATCTGACTCCGGGTTTTTATTATTAAGAACAATTAGAATTCCCGCTACACCTTACCCCAGCCCCACACTTGCCTCCAGTGGAGTGCTGCTCCCAGCAGCAGGGCCATATGTGACATGCTTACATCTGTGCACTGTCTAGCACACATCACGGATGAAAACACGTTAGAACTCCGAAATTCCATGGGCAATTAAAGTGGCCACAGTCCAGGAAACACATTTTCATTTTATTTAAAAATTATTTACAATTTATTAAGCCTTCATAAATACTTTATTTAAAATCTTTTTTTAAAATTTATTTTAACCTGAAGAAAATTTGGGGTTTTGGGAGGTGGGGAAAGGGGTGGTGACAGGCTCCTTAGAGGTTCTGCAGTGGGGAAGGTATAATGCAACAGCAGTGGTCTGGGCCTGGTGGCCTAAGGGACAATGAGAGGGAGCTTCCTTTGTCCAGCAGGCTCCCTTGCCAATTCTTGTTCAAAACTCATCACTTACTGGCCTTGGTCTGAGACACCCAGCACTGAATGCCGGCACCATCTATTCTGACCAGGCAGGAGCAGGCAGCAAGTGGTGGCGGTGGGTTAGCTAGAAAACATGCATGGCTGAGCCTCAGGCCAGCCAGGCTAAGCAAGGGCATGTGAAGTCAGTGACACACAGAAGAGGCAGCCCTGGCTCCAGTCTTCCCTCTCAAGGTCTGTAGCCCTCTCGGCAATGCCAACTGTGGTTTGGTAGACGGTGGGCAAGCGTTATGTGGGGTGTAGGTTGAATCATACTGTGTGGTGTGTCAAGGATTTCTGAGGTCCCTGTCTCGGTGGGTGCCAACCTTCCCCCACTGACAAGAATGCCTGACCACTTATAACTAATCTCCATTCTCAAAGTGTCCAGTATTCACTCTGCATTGCAGAAACATCGGGCTGAAAGTTCCACTATTTAAAACTACTAAAACCCTTGTGGGTCTGGGAACTTTGAGAATAGCAAGAAAGCTCCAAGTCTCTGGAACACATACAACACTAAGTTCCAACAGTTTCAAGGGCATCATAGGCCCTCTGAAGTCAAACTACAAACTCCCCTGGGGTAATGGCCCCAGGTTAACAACCCCTGAGTTAAATAAAGTTCCTGTGGGCGAGCACTTTCCTTTGAGACGAAAATAACATAGAGGAATTATCAGCTGTCCATCTGCCTGACTAAGTGGGGGAGGGGAAGAGGTGGCTTGGGAGTGGCTTGGAGATACAGCAGGCAGAACTGCATCTCTGGATACTGGCAGGAGGTATATAAGGGGTGGGAAATAAATCAGAAACTCAAATTCAAACTCCAGCTTGACTTACATTTTCCTTTAGGCTGGCTGTTTCCCAATACCTACATTATTATTCTTCGGATTAGATATGCATGGTCCTTCTGCCATCTTGTGGTTGTGATTGGAATTGCATCTGCCTCAAAGCCCAGGACTAAAACCCCTGTTTTAGTGGTAGGTTTTTGGAATACTTAGCTGACCAGCAAGGGATATAGTAAGAGGCTGGCAGTCTGGGATGGGGGTTGTGAAAAAGAAAAATAGGCGTTAAACATTCCTGTGTCAAGCACATTGAAGTCCCGTGACAGCACGGGGCATCCTTCCTGGCTGACCGGGGCACTCTTTGGTTTTCCATGGCTAAACTCACTGTAACAACTGTTAAGTTTGTTTTCCTGCTTTGATTTTCACTTAAAACCTGAAGTTCCATGTCTGGCTCACAACTTGGTCTCCGTGCTCTCTGACCCTCCTCTTCTGAAGCAGGCTTGTGGAGTGATTAATCACTGGAAGCCCAACCGCACACGCCCTTGGGAGATAGTGACTCAAGGCTCCCTGGCTCACCCCTCCCCAGGCATCGGAGAGAATCCGGGCGCTGACAGCGAGTCCCACACTCTGAAGTTCTGGTAGAAGGATCCGTGTCCATTCCTGGGACTAACCTTCACAGTTTCCCCTCTAGACTCTACACACTTCTCTGCCTGCGTCACCTCCCGAGTTAATGCTAAGCGTGGACTATGGTGGAAAGAGCATCCATTTTGTTCTGGAAGAAAAGGTGGTGAATTCCAGGACATGGGTCTCCTGTGACCCAGGGACACCAAAGAATAAAGAATATCACTGGGAGCCTCAGAGTGGCATTGTCAGTTGGGGTCAAGACCAGTCCTAGCACCTTCCATTACAGGCATCTCCTGTGTCAAACTGGAGGCAACCGGGAAAGCTTGCCAAACTGACTGAGAGGGGTGTGAGGTGGAGGGCAGAATGTTTTGTCACTGGTGGGAGGCCTTGGGGGAAGCAAGTGTTGGGAGGGTGGGTCTTTCCCCAAAGCCTTGGAATCTCACACCCAGCCAATCAGGTTTCCCCTCATCATGTGATCAGAGGTGTTAAATTGGAGTTTTCCTCAGAGGCTCTGTCTCCGTCTGCCGACCTCTTCCTTTTCCGACCACCTGAAACACAGGTTGTCAGCATCAGTCTGTAGCTAGGGAGGATGCTCTCAGTGGGCTGAGGACTCCTCAACCGCATGCGGCAGAGGGCTTTGGACCTCCTGCACCATGGTGCTGACATCGGCACATTTACACCTTGGAGTACTTACCCCAAAGAGGAACCTCTCGGAAAAACCACAGTCCCAGGCACTCGCCTATGACGGGGAGTTCATGGAAGAGACTCGGGTAGGCCCTGAAATGCCTTCTCTCCCTTCTCTGGAGAACCCCACCTCAAGTGACTGCCAGACACCCCCAAAGAGTACTAGTTTCCCAGTCTTTGATGTCCCGTACTGGAGTTCGTTGGTAGAGCTGGGAGCCATTCCTAAGGGCTCAGGTTCAGAACAGCTCCTGCCCACTCTTGCTCAGGTGACAGTGGTTATATAAATGTTCTCAAAGATGAAAGAGACACCTGTTTGCAGCTCTGCAGTTTTTAGAGGAACATTTGCGTCCTCTCTCTGCCATTGACCTCTGTCTAAGGAGGATACTGCTCTTACTGCTCTCTTTTTGAGAACATTTACTCTCTCTCTCTCTCTCTCTCTCTCTCTCTCTCTCTCTCTCTCTCTGTGTGTGTGTGTGTGTGTGTGTGTGCGCGCGCGCGCGTGCGCGCGCATTTGCACGTGTGTATGTGGTTGTGCCAGTGCCATGATATGCATGTGGAGGTCAGACCACCACTGAGTCAGTTCTCTACTCTCACCATGTGGGCCCTGGGAATCAAACTCAGGTCCTCAGGCTTGGCAGCAAGCACCTTTACCCACCGAGCCATCTCACTGGCCCCTGCTTTCCTTTCTGTGGAGTCTCCTGGACACAGTTTTTCTTCAAAGGATTATGCAGTGAGTATTATGGGTTTTGCAGCCTCTAAGGTCTCTGTCATGACTGTTTAACCGTGCCACTGGGGCCACATAAAACAAAAGGGTCTATGATCCAAAGATCTCTACCTATAAAAAACAGGAGAAAGAAGGAGGTCAGAATTTGACCTCGGGGCATGTCTGCGGACTCCTGGCATCAGATAACCAATGGAAAGGGACAGATTTGAACAGCATCACAGGTGTGGCACTGGCTCAGTCCCTATTGTGGGCCTCCAGAGTTGTGTCTCCTTAGGGTTTGCAAGCCTTTCCCTGGGAGAAGGACCCTAACATGCTCTGCCCCCTACTTGGTAAGGAGCTTTGGTCGGGGAGAGAGATACTCACTCAAGGTTCTTAGCAGCTTCTTGCCCATGGTCTCCTCACAGTCACTGCTGCAGGGGCTGGCCTCTGGCTCCAGGTGGATGTTACAGCATTCCGTCTCTGAAGCTGAAAGGAGAGCAAACTCAGGTCTCCAACCTAAATGCCAGGACCCGGCAGGAGATTCGGAGTGATACCTCTCAGTGAGTGACAGGGTCTAACTGTGTGTGTGACTGTGTGTGTGTGTGTGTGTGTGTGTGTGTGTGTGTGTGTGTGTGAGAGAGAGAGAGAGAGAGAGAGAGAGAGAGAGAGAGAGAGAGAGAGAGAGAGAGAGAGACTGTGTGTCCTAAAGCGTGTTGTTTATTAGTTACCAAACCGCATTTTTACTGCCAGAAAAGGAACAGAGACAACAAGAGCTGCAATCCAACAGTCTAATCTGAGTTAGAAATAATCCTCTCTCCTCAGATGCCATCTGGCAAGAAAGGAGAACATACTGTGTGCCTTGCCTAGTGTCTGTGCCAGACAAAAAGGACACCTGAGGCCACTTGATGTCACTTTCTTTCACTTGTAGAACGAAGGGCTCAGCAATAACTGGGTATATGCCTTAGCTTCCTAGAATCTCAGAGCCCAAAAAGGGTCCAAGCTAGGAGGCAGGATGCTGTGTTGGAAACTGACCTGCACCCAAAGCCCTGAGGTGGAGTCCATTTCTAACACAGTCATTGGGTGTGGTGAGCTGTTTCCCCTCTGTCAACATCATGGGTCCTCACATATCCCCCTAAGAGGTGGGCTAGATGGTCTCCAGAGTCTACCCATCTCCACCCCCTAACTACACGCTTTAATTCAAATCCTGAACTGGTGACTGTATGCACCATCTTTCTGGGTTTGGTACGTGTTGTCTCACTGATCTTACAGACTCAGGAGCCTTTTCAGATCTTTGTACACTTGGTGTGGAATAGGGCAGGTTTGAAACACTGGGCAGAGGAATTACTGGCCTGGTGGTAGCCCAAAGCTTGGAGCTGTCTACTTTATCGAGGAAAACTGGTACTGCTCATCGCTGCAGGGACACAGGGAGTTTTGAGTATCTCCACTGTCAAGGCAGAGGCACCCTGCACCTCAAATGAAGGGATCCAAGAATGCAGGGGAAATTCCAGAGACTTTGCCTGCTCTGTAGCCCAGTGGGGGCGATGGATGATGCCAGTTCTCTTTCTTCTTCTTCTTCTTCTTCTTCTTCTTCTTCTTCTTCTTCTTCTTCTTCTTCTTCTTCTTCTTCTTCTTTTCTTCTTCTTCTTCTTTTCTTCATCATCATCATCATCATCATCATCATCTCCTCCTCCTCCTCTTCCTCTTTTTCTTTTTGGTTTTTCCAGAAAGGGTTTCTCTGTGTGAAGCCCTGGCTGTCCTTGAACTCACAGTATCTGCCTGACTCTGCCTCCTTAACTGCTGGGATTAAAGGTGTGAACCACCACTGCCTGGTACAAAGCTGCATCTTGATGCCAGAGCACAGCACACTGTACTTGTCTGTAGGGTAGTTCTAATATTTATAGAGTGTGATGCCAGGCACTGGTATGCCCTATATAGACATTATCTCACTCATACTTGAAACTGCCTTGCCATATAACTACCATTATTTATACTTATTAACTCACTCAAGGAAACTTACCCATTAAGATAAGAAAACTATATCTTTGAGTAATTTGTTTAAAACTGCATAGTTCCAAAATCCAGTGTGGTGGTGCATGCTTGTAATCCCAACACTTGGGAGGTGGAGGCAGGAAGCTCCGAAGTTCAAGGTCATCCTCTGCTATAAAGTAGGTTTTGAGGCCAGCCTGGACTACATGAGACTTTGTGTTAAAAAAACAAAAACCTGCACTGAGGGGCTAAGGGTCTGAAGCCAGGCAGAAAACAGCTCCTACTATTGAGAGATGAATTAGATGGGCCAGATACATGGTAGGTGCTTGGTAAAGGCTGACAGCCCATCCCCGCTCCCCGCGCGCGCGCGCGCGCGCGTGCGTGCGTGTGTGTGTGTGTGTGTGTGTGTGTGTGATACAGGAGCTATAGGGTCCCAGGGCTCTCCCAATCCAGCTTGTTCTGAACCACACTTGTGTCCAAGAGTGGTGATCTCCCTTGCTCCTCTGGACCTAGCTCTGACCTGATGTGGGAACAGCTGCAGGGGACAGCGAGAATTGCTGTGTCTTGTGCTCCTCGAAGTTGGTCATTTCTTCCTGGGGGAAGGCCATCTCCTCCATCCTGAGGTACACGACCTCGCCGGGGCTTCTCAGACCATCTGAGCGGCTGCCTAGGGAGGACAGTGAGGATATTACCACTGTGCCTTGGAGGAGACCTGGGGCTCTGGGAGGCATAAGATGGCTGCCAGGCAGAAGTGGAGGGGGAAGGGAGGGCTGTTCCTATCCCACAGCCGCCCAACCCATCTGACTCACACGGCAAGCTGGTCCTGTTGCTCAGGAGTGTGAGGACTTGGTCATCCTTTGGAGTCTGGGGTGTGCCCCGGGTGGTGGGGGCCTTGGTGGAGTCCCCATCAGTGAAGGCTTCCATGTCTGGGGATTGAGGTGAGCTGTCCATGTGGCAGGCCGTGAGTGCGTTCTGGTACTGCTGCCGTGTGATCTGGAAGGAAGAGGACAGAGGCTCAGATGAGCTATGTAGACACTCAGTCACAACAAGCAGCTCCACTGGGATGCTTTGGAATGCCTGGTCTGAGGTCTGATGTCACCAAGTGGGAGTCCTAGCCAAGCTGCAGGGGAAGAACAATGAAGGGCCCTTTACTTGTGGACTGCTGAGTCCCACGATTCATTTTTACTGGCTTTAGACTTCAAAGTATACTGGGAAGAAACCACATGGCCCTGTTCTGTGTTGCCGCAGCAAAGTATCTGAGTCTTGTACTTTATAGAAGAGGTTTATTGGGCTCAAAAGCCTGGACCAGCATGGAGCTGGTGTTTGCTGAGAGCCTCCCTGGCTGTATTGCATGCGACAGAAGCATAAAGGGAAATGTCAGGCTGTAGCAAGGGCTAAATACAAAGGCCAACCTTGTTTCACAATAACCTGATTTCACAAAACCCATCCAGTCCTAGGGAAATGATATTAATCCCCATCAAGGTGTTGCCTCCCCCGATAACCTACTCACGTTTCTCTAGGTTCTACCTCTGGAAGATCCACCTCATAGTACTGTTACATTGGGGGCTTTGTTAACCTTTGGGGACACACTCAAACCATATCCAAACTAGAGGATGTGGGCTAAAGGGAACTGTGATTTTCACAACTTAGTATCAGATCTGAAGGGTTTGTTACATCCAGGCTTCAGGGCCCAATTCAGAATGTTTCTAACTTACCAGCTCAGGGTCTGAAACAGAATTTGCATTTCTAGCAAGTTCCATTGGAAGGCTAGTGATACTGTGGCACTTGGGGGCCACTGACTGAGACCTAGTTAATATGAGGCACAGGTTCTGCTCTGTGTCAGTTTTTTTTTTTTTCCATGAAAACCATTTTGAAGGACACAGCAGCACTGAGCTTACAACTGGCTTTGGTAGTTTTCAGGCGGAAATGTGGGTTTCAACCACCATCTGCCCAAAGCTTCAAGAGTCAGTGCTCTTGCTGAGAATGCCCCATGCCCCTGCCTCCGACTTCCCTCGCTGAGCTATCTGAAGTCATGCTCCACGTGGAAATTTCTTACATGATACTTGATATAGCCCAAGAGAGCAGCTGCCCTCCCATAGCTGTGTTCTTTAAAGAATTATCTTTATCTTATTTATTCTTAATTCAAATTTAATTTACGTGTGTGTGTGTGTGTGTGTGTGTGTGTGTGTGTGTGTGCATGCTCTGGTTCCTTCCCAATTTTTAAAGGTCCATACATTCTCCAGATAATATAGGCTTTTAAATATGCCACATAGTTTGGTGCTGGCACTAGTCATTATTTAATTTATTTTTTCTCTTTTAACCATTTGCGAAGTTGTTTCATATAAAACATTTTACATATTTATATCTTGAGAATTTTTTTAGTTTAAAAATTTTTGTGTGTCTGGGTGTTTGGCCTGTATGTGTGTATGTTTGTGTAGCATGTGTTGTGTGGTACCCATGGAGTCCAGAATACAGTGCCAGATCCCGTGGAACTGGAGTTTCAGATGGTTTGAACTATCACGTGGGTTCTGAGAATTGAACCCAGGTTGTCTGGGAGAGCAGCTAGTGCTCTTAACCACTGAGCCATCTCTCTAGCTCCCATATTTGTATCTTATAATAATTCAGATATATTTAACGCACTGCACAGTAGCCAAAGAACATTGATAATGCTTAAGAAATGCATGCTGATTGGCTCATAAAACTAAGCAAACTAATTTTCAAGAGACAATATGTTTTTCTCTTTTTTTTCTCTCATTGCTTGCTGCAATGCAACCATGTCTTAGCAATAACTTGAGTTTAGGTTGCTTTTTCATACTTTGGCCAGTTAATAATTTAAGCATCTCCTAAATTATTATCTTGGAACTTACAAAAGGTAACTTTTCCCTTTTGGGCATCTTGACTTGGCAGTCAAGTCAACCTTTAGGCTGTGGATGGTTCTTGCCATTTCATGAACTTGTGGTTTGGGGATGGTTGATTAGCCTTCAAAACACGATCCTGCAATTTAGGAATTTTACCACTAGATGGTGATGGAGATCTTGGTCAAAGTCATACAACTAACACTGCAAGGTACCCGCCAAACATTATTAGCTTAACAAAGATGCCTACAGGACAGACAGACAGACAGACAGACAGACAGACAGACAGACAGACACACACACACACACACACACACACACCCCAAACAAAACAAAACAAAACAAAAAAACCCAACCAAAACCAAAACAAAACCACCAACCAACCAACCAAAAACCAAAACAAAATTCACCAGGATTGGTGGCTTTATAATGTATTGTCTACGAATGAATCATGGCTTTGTTTAAATCCTTTCCCAGAAAACTGTAAGATGTGCCCACCAATCTCATTTTAAACTTGTCTGGAAGTCATATTTCTCTTGAACTTAATAATTTGGGACTTTAGTTTATTGGACAAGGAGGGTCACTGGGGACCTTTCTTGCATCAGCAGCTGGGATTTGGGCCTGGGGAAGCACTTCTCTGTGCATGCTCCCTTTAGGTCCACAGGGACAATATGGCTCAGAGCACTTGCCGGGGTGCCTGAGCCCCAGGTCAATCCTTAGAACTAACTACAAAACCAATAAGAGAGCAGAGACACTTCAGGTTAAAGAGAAGGCAGAGCTGGGAGAGGAAGGTGGGGGAGGTTGCCTCAGCACATCCAGAGCATCTTCCGAATTGGGAAGTGGTGATTTTTCAATTACATTTTAGAAAGATCTTGCATTGCGCAGCAAAGGAGAAAACCAAACCCTTACCATCTGTCTTGAATTTAAAAACTGCCCCTCAGTAGAGCTAAGAGTTTTCTAAAGTCACAGGCTTAAAGAGAGTTTGACTGATGCTTTAAGTAGACATCCTTCTCAATTTTAAAACATTTAGGTAGAAAAAAACGGAATAAATTTGGTGTTTCCAGGCAGCTTGGACCAGAACACGATCCTTGGATGTGACAAAAAGAACGTCCAATTCTCAGTTCTCCTTGAGAATCGGCCTTGGATTCGGGGTTCTACCTCCCTCTGGTTCAGGCTGGGAAAGCTTTCCTTGTGATTTGTAGAAAGTTCCCTCTTCTTAGGTCTAGGAATGGGGACAAATTTTAGGAAAACCTTCACAAATTTCCTCTTTCCGAGATCCCCTTCTCAGTACGTTCCTCTGAGGAGCTGTCATGTACACGTCCGATTGTCCTATCTGATCTATCTGGTCAGGACAAGGACCACTTCTCCAACCCATCTGCTCCCCACAGCTGCTTATTTAAACCCGATGGATCAATGTCACTCACTCCACAGCAGCAAACCAAACTGTATTTTGATTTTTTTGTTTTTGAGCTTCACCCATAAATTGTGCCACAGGATGCCAGAAATCTAAACACTACATGCTGACACCTAATTGCCCCAGGAGAGGGCACTGAGGGGAGGCTTCTGGAGAGGATTAGGAGGGGATTGTGTCTTAAGGGTGGTAGGTGCTGTGGCTTCTCTTCTATGAGGGCTTGCCTCCTTTGTCTGCAGTCTAACATCCAAGGACACAAAGGTCTCGAGGAAGTGGACCCTCAACACACACTGGATCTACCGGCCCCTGACCTTGGGCTTGCCAGCCCGTAGTAGTGTAAGGTGGACATACTATGGTCATTTGTGACAGTAGCATGAATTGACTTCCTGAATTGAACCCAAGAAAAAAAAAGGACCCTCCCCTTTTCTCCCCATTTAAATGTTTAAAATTGAGAAGGTGACCAATTAAACGCCCTTTAAACCCATGGCTTCCGAAAACTGTTAATCCTACTTAACAGTTTTTTTTTTTTTCCCCAATTGCTGGGGTAATGTGCTAAAAATAGAATCCAAACTCCATATGCTGCCCCAGAGGGCCCAGGGGCTCTGCTTCCAATGCTCTGTTCCTGACATCGGTGCCTGCCTCTGTTCTTCACAGGCCAGTGCTCAGATCCCTGACACCCCCAGCACTGTGGTTTCTATTCTGGGCATCCTCCTCCCTCCCTTGTCGGCCCTCAGCAAGTGTCCTTCCCTCAGCCCTCCATTATGGCTACCTCAGAAGTAGCCGACTAGTCTCTCTGCCCTGTCTCTCTCTATGCCATGGCTTTGTCTTCACCACTTGAACTTACCTGGTTTGTGATGTGCTAACCTGTCTCCCTCACCCCTGCTATTGGCATATAAGCTCTACAAAGGCACAGTATCTCATCAATGCTAAGCACAAAGCAGACGGTGGTGAGGTAGTTGACAAACTGTGTCCTGAAGTTATGAGCCTAATACCTCAAAGCAGCAGAACTAGAACCCTGGTCCCTCTTCCTACCTTCACCTCTGAGGAGGTCTGTGTTAGCATTGAAAGGTCTTTCAGGCTGGAAGCCACAGGGAGTGAGGTGAGCCTCTCTGCTCTCAGGCCTGTTAGATGTCCAGTCATACCCGAGTGGTTCTCAGCCAGGCTGTGGTTGCTTCTCCCTGAGAGAACTCTCCACAACTCTCCCTGAAGTCCAGTGAACTGGGGGGTTGGACTCCAGAAGCAGACAGAAGTGCGATTCTATCTTTTTTTTTTTTTTTTAGCCAGATGATCTTGCATTCAAGCCTCCAAGTCATTTGTAAAGTGGGAATGGCAGTAGCACCTATCTCAGAGGGTGGTGGTAAAGGACTCACAGTAAGGATCCTTGCAGGGTGTTCGCTACCCAGCAGTCCTTATCCTGCCCTGTCTTAGTGTTCTATTGCCAAAAAGAGGCACCATGACCACGGCAACTCTTACAAAGTAAAGGTTTCAATTGGGGCTGCCTTACAGTTTCAGGGGTTTAGTCTCTTATCGTCATGGTGGGAAGCATGGCGCCACGTAGTCAGACATGGTGCTGGAGAAGGAGAGAGAGTTCTACATGTTGGTCCACAGGCAGCAGAAGTGAATGCCTGGCTTGAGTGTCTGAGACCTCAAAGCCCATCCCAAAGTGACACACTTCCTCCAACAAGACCACACCCACTCCAGCAAGACCACACCTCCTAATAGTGCCACGCCCTATGGGGCCCTTCCTATTCCAACCACCACATGCCCCATCTGGCTTGTTCTGCCCCTTTAGCTGATAATGTTCAATGGTTTCTTCTTTCCACGGCTACTTTTATTGGCTATCACTAACATATCTGCAGAGTCCTGGCACGGAAAACGGGCCAGCATGCCCCAGAAGTAATCAGTGTTCTGGAAGGAAATGACCTTCCACTGTGTGATTTCAGTGTCTGGCAGTTACCAAGTGTACCCGCTGGACTGGGATAAGTGGGGCTCTAACTGAGGTCTCAGGGCCAAGTTTACAACGGTTTGCTGGGTGTCAGAAAAGAAAAGAAATCCAGTAGAGTAAGAGGGAGGGAGAAAATTTGAAGGATTCCTGGGCACTGCAACCCTAAGGAAAGATCTGAAGAGACACCAGCCATTCTCCTCAAGTGCCTCTGTCCAGGCTGCACCTCACGGTGGCTCTTTGGTGACCCACTTTAATATTATGGTTTAGAAATACTATCATGTAAGACAATATACTTCCGTAGAGGATCATCGTGGTTTTTCTATTTGCTCAGCTTGTTTATCCTTTGCTGACTGACCTTGAGATAAATGACTAGTATCACTCTGGTGTCAATGGCAGGGATCCAAAAGAGACAGTTCTGCCTAGAAATGTATCTCAGGCAAGCTCATCTCCCTTCAATTTGTGCCTTAGCGTCTCCACATGAAATAAAGGACCGGGAGTCTTGACTGTGACAGATGATCAGCATCTTCAACAGCAATAATAAACAGTAGCCATCGAGCTTACTAAAAGCAGGGCTTTGTACAGCCAGGGAGGAATCGCCACCCAGAATGACCCTGGGGCAGGAGAAGGGGATGTGTACAAAGGTCTGTCCCACTGCCCCAGCCGGCTGCCCTCCTGGAAGAGTTACCTTCACAAACTGCACATCGCTGAGGATATGCACCGAGTAGTCGGGAGTGTAGAGGTTGTTGCTGCTGCTGTACAGCTGTGTGTTGCTCCCGCCAAAGTCACTGCGCTCTCGGTTTGGAGACTCAGAGCGATTCAAGCCGCTGCAGCGAGAAGGGGACCGGTTTACTGCAGATGGTGAGGAAGAGGGAGGGGAGCGAGAGAAGAGATGGAGGGTGGGGGAAAAGAGGAAGGAGGAAGAGAGAAAAAGGCGCTGTTTATAGAGATCCCATGGCACTACCAGGCAGCGGTGGCAATGCAAGGACAGGGCCCACAACCCCACTAGAGCCCAAGAAGGGAGTGGCTTGTAGGTGTTGCCTCCCGTGGGGCTCTGCCTGACCCAGGGAGGAAGCCTTAGATGGTGGGCAGAGGTGGGAATCTGTCTTGGCTCTGGTCTTCAAGTTAGGTGCAGAAGGACCCCCAATACACAAGGATAGTGCTATGTCCATGGTTCACAGTAGTGACCCCTCTATTGGGGCAAGACAGTGTACACAGTGCAATGACAAATCCCTTAAGGAAGACCAAGTTCTTAGGTTTGTCTTCACAATTTCCTGTCACTTCACCATGGCCATATTTTAGGGGGGCTAACTCAGGTCTGCCTTAACAGTGGCAGGCCTTGGAACAAGAGTGTGGACAGAGGTCTACAAGCCATAAGGGTAAATAGTTACAAGCTGTACAGCATGTTAATACACAGTTAAGATGTTTTATTCTTGCCTTTCACAACTGTTTATACCAACCTGCAAGGCAAGGTTCAACTCCTTGAGTTTTGTGGCAGAAACAGGGCTGTGTGGGGTGAACCACACTCTGGTCTTAAGGCTTCTGGGCTCAGTATCTTTCAGGGATGTTTGGTCATGGAACTCTAGGCATGTTTGAGATGTGTAGCAGGACCTAACTCCCTTTGACTTTTACAAACGTCTTGTCTCATCCAGAGATGCAGCAATGAGGAGAGCCACAGTGGTCCTTGAAAATGTGGGTCATGGAAAGGCTCATTCTAACATAAACAAAGCCTGGGGAAACCCATAAACTTTCTGCCAAAGACATAAATGTCTCCATAGCATCTTTAAATTCAGTAAAAAACTATGCCATTTGGTTTTAATTGGACAGTGAGCTACCTTCCCTAGGATCAATAAGGATGAGGAAGCTGAAGGTGATCAGAACCATGGGACAACCCTAATGAGAGAATACAAAGCTTTTCTTATCCCTCTGTTCCCCAACTATTGTGACTCTGCCCATCTTCCCCAGAGGCTAAGAGGGTGTAGGCTCCTCAGACCTCAGATCTACTTCAGAGAGCTCAAGTGAAGACTCAAATTCTTCAAAGATTTTTTTCAGGGTGAAACCTGGCAGTGTAATTCTGACCCTGAGATGATGCTGGTGTCAGTCAGGATGTCTGACTAGCACCTCCTGGAGTGAGTCACAGAGTTGGATGATTTGTCTATTTGCCAAGCCATTACAGCTTGGCAAACCATGGAGAAGACATTCAAGTAAACATAGGTCGGATCACTTTCTCTCTAGAACCACAAGAATCGATGCTTTCCTATGGTTATAGAACGGAGGATCCCACTTTTATCCTAGTTGTCTCTACAAACGCCATTTACTTGTAAGCAGCTATTTACTCCCAGAAACCCAGGAGTTAGCCTTGACTCCTCTACTCCCTAAGGACCACATCCAGACCTGCCATTGGCCTCTAACCCAAACAGCCCTCTGCTCTCTCTGTCTCTTTCTAATCAAAGACAGTTACCATCGCCACTGCTTGGGTCACAATCTGGTCCCTCACTCCTAATCTCAAACAGCAGCCTTCCATCTCCCAGGAGATGCCTGAATCTCCAATAGTACAAACCCAACTTACATGCTGTTTCCCTACACACATACATATGATAAACTTTAAATTACAAATAAGAGACCACCTATCACTATGTATTAACTAATATAATAATGTGCACTATAATATAGAAGTTGCTCATACATTACAATTGCCTATTTCTTAGATTTTCTATTTAATATTTATGGATCTTGATTGTCACTGGGGACTGAAATCACAAAAAAATGGAAGTATGAATAAAATGAGACTACTGAGATCCATTTCCATAAATTCATTTCTGATTCTATATGAATAAACCCAGACTCCTTGCTGGTCCCCACTTCCTGATAGATTTCCTCTTGGGCCCCCTTCTCCTCTCTTGGCCTCTGGTCACAAGAGTGTCTGTCCCTGAGAAGATGCCAATCCCTTGGTTCTCAGCCCTGTCTGCCAAGGTTGCTTCCTTCTCAACCCCTAGCTATCACTGGAGAGGCTCATGTATCTTGAAGACCTCATCTGGGTACTCTGGGAAACTCTCCTGTGTTCACTGTTACCACCCCTTTCCAGTTCTTTAAAGCGTTCGTTCCACAAAAATGGAATTACACACTTGTTATATCTGCCTAACTCTAAATTCAGTGAGAGAAGAGACCTTGCCTTTCCTGGTCACCATCAATATATCCACAGAACCTGACCCGGGGTCGGCACTCTATATAAATGCAGAGTGGGAAAATCTGTACCTAACATCCCTTGAAGGGATTTTAATTTAGAACCTAAATTCTGTTTAAAGAGAGGTTTTAGAGCTCCAAAAATGATCTTGGGACCCCCCAAGCCTTTCCTCTGTAGACTTTAGTCGTCTGGGGGACCCCCTCCTCTAAGAAGCTAGGGTTGGTAGGGGGATACCAGAAGTGCAGTTGGATGGAGTTAAATCTAAGAAGTCCCAGGCCTTGGCCAGCAGTTTAGGAGAGAGGCCAAGGGCACAAGGACTATACCTGCCTGTAAATAACAGTACAGAAGACAGGAGGTCTTGGAGTCAGGCCTGTGGAAGTTGCTTATTCACAGTGTTGGAGGACCAGATCCTCCAGAGTGACTAAGGACTGACAAGACAGTGGCAGAAGATTTAGTGCAGCACTATTGACTGTGAATTATAAGACTGTAGTCTTGAGCCCTTGGAAACAAAGTGATGAATTCTGGCTTGGCTAAATCTGTTTGGTAGCTATTCAGGGTGGCAGCTGGCTAAGAAAGCCAGTACTTTCTCCTCTGGGGTAGATGTGGGAATGGCAGGTAGTCTTGCTGGAGGACAGCTACTTTGGCATATGATTAGGGTCTGGAAAGCTGAACCCTGACTCCATGGGTCTTGGCTTCCACTCAGTTTGGGCACAACTCGGGGAAGAAGACTCTTTTTGAGCTCTCTGTGGCTTTATCCACCCTGAGACTGCATCGCTATATCTTCCACTTTTCCTGACCAGACAGGGGCTTCACAGCCCACAGCTTCTGCCCTGAATCCTTATCTTAGGTCATGCTTCTATATATATTTGAAAAGGATGATAGGGAAACAGACCTATCTTATCTACTGAACTTTTCCCACCCACAGAAGCTTCTACCTGAATCACTTCCACTCCTTGTCCGGAATAGAGGCAACAACTACATCCTAGCTCCCCATAAAGCTTTCACCATACATGAGAATCTAGGATAAGGAGGTCACTCTGCCTTTACTCTGGGATTCACATATAAAACACACATACACTTTGTTGTCATGTTGTAAGGAGAAACATATTTTTGATTTTTTAAGTAAATAAACCATTGGATATTTACTTAAAAAATCCCAAAGATTTTCAACACCAAAAGAAACAATTGTCTTGTAAAAGGAGTTTTTAAGAGGAAAAAAAGAACCCTCATTTCATGACAAATAAAGTCCCAGCTCATCTGAATGTTGTGCAAGATGGATGTTTTAGTGTCCCAGAGCCTGACATTCCTTAATAGGTAGGATGCTGATGACTCCGCACTTTGGTAATTGGGCACACACACACACTCTGAGGCTTTGGAGAGAGGGGAATGGAAACGGAAATGCTTTTAATAAAAAAAGAGAAGAAATCAGTAACAGACGAGTGTCCCAGCAGCATGGCAAACTAGTTCAAGTTGTCTAATTCCCCTTGGCATTTCCTAAGAGCACAGAGGCACGGCTTGGGGGAATGAAGCAACGTGGAAAATCCTAAGTGCAGTGCAAGGAGGTCTGCAAGCAGCAGATCAAACAGCGATGCATAACACTGCTGACCACAGGGACACCAACAGGAGGCGGGTCAAGGGGTCAACATGCCTTTGGCCTGCTTTCGGTATTATATGGCACCATGTGGCTGGCTCTGGGGTGACTGGGTAGAAAGGAGCTCCATTTTCTACTCAGCATCACTCACTGCTCTGGAAGACTGTGGGAGAATCCTGTCCTGCAGCCAGTGTGTGGTCATCTTGCAAGAGCTGTCTGTCCTGGCTAGCAGCTCAGAGTGACTGGGGTTGGGGGGAAAAGACATTGCAGTGAAACTGGGGGAGAGTAGGAGGTGGAGGAAGGCATGGACGAAGATTTTACACAGTAACTGATGCTGGGAAGAATCCCCTTCATTCTGTACTACTATACAGGAGCCTTGAAGATTGCCACCCAGTTCTGGACCTGTTGTTCACTCATACCTACCTGTGTCTAGGGAGACTTCACATCCCTATTCAGGGAGCTAAACTCCAAATTCACAAGTATGATGCTTGACTCCCCTTGGGATCATGAAGATTTGGGGAGCAGAAGGACTCTGTGCCTCCCTGTCTACATCTTTTGGGACATCAGAGAGGACCGAGGGGGAACAACTTCCTTTGGTCATGGTTACTACCACAGGCCATCTGTGTTCCCCAAATTGGATGGGGGTGGGGTTTAATTACACAGGCTTATGAGAGTAAAAACTAAGATTATTAAAATTCATCATTCTTTGGTAGTTTTTTAACATCAGACAACCAAATGCCAAGAGCCAGCCCTCCATCAAGCCCCATGTGAACTCTGCAAGTCAGCCCCAGTTACGATCCCAGATGAACTTGCTCACGTTTCAAGGAGTTTTAATGGTTCCCAAATGTTTACTACACAAGAGCCAACCCCAAGGAATATTTCCACTTGCCACATTGTACAAAGCTGAAAGATTATTTTTAGGGACTCCTTGTATATTCTGGGAGAAAACGCCATCGTCTTTGATCTCAATGCACACTATGGACAGACAATCGAAGCCTTAGTTGTGATGTTTCTCCTTCTCTGTGTTCTTGTGGATTTGGGAGGACTGCCATGGGAAAGTCAATATTATCTCCATCAGGAGAAGAACGGAGGGAATGATAACTGCAGTGGGGCCAATGGGAAGCTTCATTTTTAAACAAAAGCACCTGCAAAGTCAGCTAATTGCACTGTACTCTGGAGGTGATCCATGGACCACTAAGCTCTCCTTACTCCAAACTCAAAGAAATGCCCTATGGATAATGATTTGCAATCACATGCTCAATATTTTTGAAATATTTGGTACAAGGACTCTTGGACTCAGTCCAATGTAAGTACCATATTCATTAGTGTGGCGAATGCAGATGCACCGAAGCCCTCTAGGGGGTGCAAAATGCCTACATGTGGAGATGGTAACTGTCCCAGGCAGGAGAAAGCAGGATCTAGGGACCTGGATTCCTCATCCCTCTACCTCTTATTACACATAGAAGACTGACCAAATGGCTTAATTTCTGCGAGTCTGTTTCCCTATAGTAATTCCTACCCATCTCCCAAAGTGGCTGTGGGGAGTAAGAAGAAATGATTCCTTTTTAGAAATTTCTTCTTCTTAACTTTTTGTTTATTTTTTGCTTTCTGAGATAGGGTTTCACTGTTTAGCTCTGGCTGTCCTGGAACTCGCTTTGTATACCAGGTTGGCCTTCAACTCACAGAAATCTACCTGCCTCTGCCTCCTGAGTGCTGGGATTAAAGGCGTGCACCACTACTACCCAGCCTTCTTAACTTTTAAAATTTACTTTTATGTGTACAAGTGTTTTGCCTGCATGTATGTACGTGCACCATACAGAATGCCTGGTACACATGGAGGCCAGAAAAGGGCACTGGGTCCCCAGTGCCTGGAGTTACAGGGGCTTGTTAGCTGCCATGTGGGTGCTGGGAACTCAATCTGAGTCCTCTGCAAGAGCAGCCAGTGCTCTTATGACCTCACTTGCCAGTACTCTGATTTGTTTTTAAACTTCTTAAGTTTCTAGGGTTTATCTTTTTCCCTATGCAAGACAGGTTAAGGCTTACTTAGTATATGTATATGTTTATATTTCTGGAGCAGAAATCAAGACTGGGACCAGAAGGAACCCAAGACTTCTTGCCAAAACCTCCTAGGCTTGTCACAAAACTCCCAGACTTCTTTGCTAACATGGGACAGAAACAAGAGTGACATAGGTATTGCTGTAGTGTGGAGTCCTGAGAATGCCACCCAGTTATCGTGGAGGCTGGTGGTTGTCTAAAGACAGAGACCAGCAACGAGAATGGAGAAAAGTGCAGAGGAGAAGGTGCTGGCTGCTTGATTTCTCTTGCTGCATCTATGATTGGTCCACCCCGCAGAGCTGAACTGAACTGGAAAAGGATGACTTCATTCTCAACTCGTTTACCATGGTTTCCTGTTGCACTGAACATCCACAGTCATAGATAATGGCGAGAAGGTTGAAAGAATCCTCTGGGGCACACATCAGCCACAGTAAGAGAAGTCTCTGCCTCTGGTGGGAGAAGGGCTACACAGAGGGTTGAGTCTGTTTATTCTCTGACATTGGGCTACATGAAGGTTTTCCTAATAAATATGGTGAACTACCACTATCCCTTACACTGGGAAATTACCACTAACTGGGTTGTCTGGCTAGCTGAGGGTTAATTAAAAAGAAAAATACATGCCTGCTTTGATTCGTCTAGTTTAAAATCTTGTAAAAATATGCACATTCTCCCTGCTTTCTGCAGCACAGTCACAATGCGCTCTTGGCATTCTCCAAGATTTGAAGGTCCATGATGTGGTCCTTTCTAATTTTGCTGGCATGTGGGGTTAGACCACGTAGCTGGTGTGGATACCAGATTGGCATCTCACATGGACTGCTCTAGCCTGTAGCCATTGGGAAGGCATGAACTCTCTCTCACAAAGGGAGATGAGTTTTATTTCTTAGTGGAAAATTACCATCCACACAGAGAGAAAACTCTGGTGAAATTTGAGAAGGTGGTTAACTTGTCTTGAACAGATAAACATGGGAACCAGATGGTTTGGGATAGAAAAACGTGATTTGGGAAAGCAGTTAAAACAACTATGTTTGAAGCTATGAATATGGGGTCTGAGATCTCAGGGCATGGTCTTTCCAATGTAGAAGGTCAACCGACCAGACACAACTGAATTTTCGATTGTGGAAGATATGGTGGAGATGGGTAGGGAGACATAGATGAAGAAACCACAGGGAACTGGACTTTTTAGCTGCAGGAAAATTTAACTAATACATTCCTGCTTTGGGGCCTCACTCCATGGTACGAAGAGATCAACCTCTAAAGACACAGACAATATACAAACGGCTACTTAATTATTCAGATTTACTGTACTCAGTCATTGGGTTATTGAGCACTCTATTAGGCTTTACTTGATTCAAAACAAAACTATCCAACTGTATTTCATTAGCATGAGGAGTTAAATGTAACGAAAAGCAATGTGGGCATTTTCACATACAGCAGGCTTTGTATGAGCAGAACCACAGGAAATACAACTACCACTCAGTAGATTGCTTGGAAGAGGGGGATGGGTTAGCAGCTAACTACATAGAAGAAAAAGAGGTGGTAGGAACGTAGGACACTGTCCCATCATTTCCTCCTGTATTTTCCATCCCTCCACTCTGCAGAGCAAATTATGTGGGAGAACTCACACTACTTATCACCTCAACCAGTATTCCATGTATACACAGGTATGTCCTGGCAGGAAAATTCCTAACGAAAGCTGTTGAGCCGGCCTGCTGTGCAAATGAGTATTATTTGTGCAATGCACTCTGCCTTAGTCACTGGAGTGCCTTTGGGTCGAGACCAGTTCTCATGCAGGACAGTGAGGGAGATCAGATGCCTCCTGCTAACCCAACTGGATCTACAGAGACCCGAGATACTCATGCATGTTTACCTGGGGAGCCTGCCAGAGAGTCCCCTCTGCTGAAGGCGAAGGTACGAGACACAGAGACGGGCACTAAAGAGTCGGGGGGGGGGGGCAAGGATATGTGAATAGCGAAGGGGAAGATAGACACAAAAGAAGAGAGACAAAGAGCAAAAAGGGTGAGACAGTCTGTTCCTGGTTCTTCACAATATCACATTGCATGGCAAAAAATAAACCTTGCTTCGGAAAACACAGGAGTGTTTACCAAGTCACCCCGGAGAGACAAAATAAAATGAACTTGACTGAAAGCCTCCCGAAAGGGTATGTAATAATCTCATGGGGAATCGCAGAAGCCTCTGACTAGCCCAGCCAGTGCCCTTGGAGGAAGCACAGAAGCAGCTTTCTCTCTGAGGTGCCCACCTTGAGCTAGCAAATATGTTAGAGCCCAGCACCGTCCCCTGCCCTCCGCTCTCCCAGTTGTCACACATAGCCTGCTCATACAGAAGAGCCCTTGGGTAGACATTCAGAGGCCAGGAAGCCAGGTGCATGCTGGGAGGCTGGATCCTGCCTGGGCTCCCAGGTGATGCTCTACTATGGGCACAGTGCTGGTAAGGAGCTGTGCACTGCTAGAGGCAAGGGCAAAGGCAGGGCAGTTTCTAGTAGCTCAACTGTGAGTCAACTTTATAAATCAAATCACAGTTACTTTCTAGAAATCACAAGCATTCCCTCTCTTTATTTTCTTCTCTTTTCTCTCTCCCTTTCTCCTTTCCCCAGAGTCAGAAATGGTAGCAGCCATCATTCAGGCCTTGGTAGAGCAGACTGTGCAGGACTCCAGTTCTTTCTTCATGTTAATACTGATGGGCTAAACAGGATGTCTGTCTGTCTGACCATTCTCAGAATCCCTTCCCAGGACCCAAGTGAAACTGATCTTCAGGCTGAAGGCACTCCGATACAGGAGGCTTCTGCAGCTTCCTCTTCTGTGTCACAGTTCTGTTTTGAAATTACTTATCCCTGCAGGCGAAGAGGAGGGTTGTTTGTTTGTTTAGCCTATCTGACAACCATTAATACTACCATAGGATGCTAAGGAGTGTTTGAACTGGCCTCTGTTCTGAGACACACTGGTCTCAGTTCTGCTAAGCAGATCGCAGGCTAGTTCTCCATCTGTATACCTCTGTGTGCCCCTGTTCTACCTGAGCTCACATGAGAATCCTCCAGAAAACAGGGCTCCCTCATCATGGGCTCCTGGATTCCTGGCAATCAATATCAAGATAAAGAGTAGAGTATGAGCCAGGCACAGAGGCATGCCTTTAATTCCAACATTCAGGAGACAGAGGTACACAGATCTTTATGAGTTTTGGTCTACATAGTAAGTTCTAGACTAGTCAGGCTACATAATGAAACCCTGTCTCAAAAAAGGGGTGGTGGTGGATGGAGTGTGGATTGTGCCCCACTCAGGGACACCTGGGAGAATTCTTTGTAACTTGAGTTCAACTCTGAGACACAGCTCACAGGTGTCCCCACAAAGCATTTCACTTTCAGCCTCAATGACGGAGAAAGGCTCAGCCTGCTAGGTCAAGGCCCTACAAGAGTTTACTGCCAGGTGGTTTAGGCTAAAGCTCTGCCTCCAACTGCACATGATGCTCTTGGCCAGCAAAAAGTGGAGCTGGGAGCCTCTGAACTTGACTTCAGCACCAACGTAGGGAACAACCGTGGGGTATGGGTGATTTGCACTTGGTCCACCCTTCACTCAGGAGGAAGAACTTGTTGGAGGGTGGACAGCAACTCTTTCCCACTACTGGCCAATGATATTATCTTTCCTGAAGATGTATAAGGGCTCAGAAGCATGGGAGGGGAAAAAGAATTTAATGCTTTCTTTAGTTAGTTAAATTGAATACAAAGTATATGACTCATGGATTTGAAGATGCCATGATAAAACCCATTATTTTCTATGGTAACTTAAAAAATTAATAAAAATAGCTGGATGGTGGTAGTGCACACCTTTAATCCCAGCACTTGGGAGGCAGAGGCAGGTAGATCTCTGTGAGTTCAAGGCTGGCCTGGTCTACAGAGTGAGTTCCAGGACAGCCTCCAAAGCAATACAGAGAAACCCTGTCTTAAAAAAAACCAAAGGAAAAAAAAAGAAATTAGTAAATTATGAAGAAAAAAGATGACTATTGCAAACTTACTCTTTTTTTTTTTCACTGATAAAATGGAAGGGTTTTTGATATAACTAGGATCAGAGGAAGCCAGACAGTGTCTTCTTACTTGAAATTGTGCCACAGCATGTGGGTGAAAGTCAGTGACCTCCTTTTCCAGGGGCTCCAGGGACAAACTCAGCCATCAGACTCAGCAGTTAGTGTCCTTCCTGTTGAGCCCTCCTGCTGGCCCTCTTTATAAAGAAAGTCATATGAAGTGGGGAGGGGAGAGTTGGGGAGACTTATGAAGCTCTCTTTTTCTCTTCCCACTGCTCTTTTTGAGGCCAGTATTTCTAGGCAGCATCGTAGAGTGCTAGGAGCATTTCCACTGTGATGCATGGGCACCTCCTTCTGAGAACGAAGGGCTCCCCGGTCCTGGAAACTGCCTTTCACTTGTTCACCTGTCTATGCTGAGTACGGATGCCTCTTTTATCAAGCCTGCTTGACAGTCATTGGCTGACATAAATACCATACTGAATCAGTTTCTTTTTTCTCCTCCCTTCCTTTTCTTCCTTCCTTCCTTCTGTTATCTTTCTTTCTCCCTCCATCCCTCCCTTCCCAGATCTCCTTACTCAAGTTCTATAACCCTGTGGGTAGAATAGATACTTAAGACTTCATTTCAGCCATCTGGTAAGCTAGAAAGTAAATGACATGGTAAGTTATTCTATCATTTCCATACAGCAATTGCACTCTGGAACAGGGACCTAAAATCTCTCTATTGTGCTGTGGGAACTAGTCATGACACGGGAGTGGCCCTATCTAAGTAAGTCACTGACTGGCTAGGTGATATGGAACAAGTTACTTCTTTGACTTTTCTTATTAAAACTTTAATTAATAAATTGATTTATTTATCTATTTTTGTGGTGCTGTAATTTGGACTCAGAACCTTGTCTATGCTGGATAACTACTTGACCACTGCTCTATATGCCCAACCCCATTTTCTCATTCTGAAGTGACATCTACCTTGCTCCATTCTTGGGATATCAAGTTCCAAAATCCTCTGATAAATTCCAATATGAAATACTATGTAAACTCTTTTTTATGATTAAAAGAAATATCCCATTTGAAATTGAAGTGGCCACCACAGTGCAAAATTTAACCAATGAATCTAAAGGAAACCTAGAGAAAGTCTTTCTGGGCTATATTTGCATCACAATAGAAGCCATGCGTTCTACACACTAACACACCAACTCTGCACAGAGAACAGCGAGAAGGTACAGCACAGGAGGGCAGATCGAGCCAGCTGTCAGCCCTGTGCCAGCCCTCGCCCCCAGGCAGCATGCACGGCCAACTGGCAGCCATCTCAGCACCAGCAGAGAGGTTGTAAGCAAGGAAAGAGCAGCAGCTAAGTAGCAGATTGCACCAGCCTTGATTTACAACACTGAATGTCACAGTCACCTTTCCCTGAAAACAAATGTCACAGACAAGATCATAGCACTCCAGGTAAAGGGCAGGGTGAATTAGTACTGCAGTGAAGGGAAGACTGAACCACCACCACCACCACCACCACCACCACCACCACCACCACCACCGGAGCACACAGATCAGCTGCCTGCATTCCCCAGCAGGTAGAAACCCACTCTGGGTGTCCCCAGCCACACCACACACCTACTTCATTCATCACTTGGGTGTGAACAGAGAAGCCACAACAGCCCCACATTCCAGACACACACAACTTAAGCCTCCGGGTTGTGTGGGTACCTGGTGGAAGGCAGTGGTCTGGCAGAGCATTACAAAAAGGCTGCCAGCATTTGTGTTAGCCCAGCCCATGTTCAAACAGCTTGGTTCGGGTTCCCAAAGTGGGCAGAGGCAGGGCCATGACAGGGAAGACGAGGGAGGGAGGGGTTTGAGAGGTACATACGAAAGACGGAGGATCCAGCCAGACTTCCAACCTTCCGCACGTCATTATCTAAGGACAGAAGGATGCAGTGGGTTTCAGAAGTAACTCAGAAAACATAACTTCTTATGGGAATCTCCACTTCCACTCCACCCCAGCACCAATTAACCCTGCAGAAATCAGGCAATCAAACAGGAGGGTAGGAGAGAGGGGTACAGAGTGAAACAACTTGTCTTTTCATACTGAAGAAAGAATTTTTCTCCATCCCCAGCACTGCTACATGATTCCTTTGTCCCGCCCAACCCAATGGTCTTCCTCTTTTTTTTGTTTTTTCGAGACAGGGTTTCTCGGGGTAGCTTTGTAGACCAGGCTGGCCTCGGACTCACAGAGATCCGCCTGCCTCTGCCTCCAGAGTGCTGGGCTTGCGCCACCACCACCCTGCTATTTCCTCTTATTTTTAAAGCTAAGCAAAATCTGAATGAAAAGTTATTTTTATGTCCATTTGGCATGAAGGAAACCAGATCCAAGGACGTTACACAGCTTAAGTGGAGGGCCTTTAACAGGAGTCAAAAGAAGAGGCACAACTTGAGCCTAGGTTTTCCTTGGGCGATCTCATTGCTTCCCCTGACAAGCTCCGGCTTGGGAACTGGAGTACCTGAGCAAGCAGTGGTCATGATGGCAGGAACACCATAGTAGGTAAAGGCTCCATTCTCAAAGCGAAGGCCTTCCTTACCAACCTCCACTTCTACTTTACCCTGGAGAAAGAAGGAGTGTCAGGAGTGTACCGAGGCTGTGCTGAGCGTTTCCAGGTTTCGTATCCACTCAGACCCTATGTACTCCTCTGTGCATGACAAGTGGACTAGCATTCTCACAGAGCAGTGTTAATGCTGCCCTGATTCATGGGACAGAACAGAACCTCCCACTTCAGAAGCCCTTTGCAGTGAGTTCAATGCTTCAGCAATCCTAGAGTAGCACCTGGGCAGAATGACCAAGCTTTCTGGACACACTGTAGCGGTCTTCCCAGAACACAGGTCTACAGCAGCAGCTAAGCCAGAGCCCTTCGAGCAGCTTCAATGACTTAGACTCACATGAGACCATTTCCAAATCTGGATGAGACAGAATCTGATCGTGTTGAACTCATCGTCTGTGACAGTGATTATCAATATGAGAGTGTATGGCTACATCGATGAATCTGATAACGCTATGTACACCTTGTGGATGCTCACTGCCAGCCCTGCAGCTCCACCAAACATGTAATATTTTTATGTCCAGTTGACAGATGCATTGATTTAGGCTCAGAGAGGTTAACTGGCTTAGTTGAGCTTGTTAGCACGAGGAAACAATGAAATCTTAACGGCAAATCTCTCTTAATTCCTGAGCCCACCTTCTTTCTGCCATGTTTTATTCCCTTCAGCTCTTTATTTGAAAGCTTTTGTTAACCATTAGATGAAGGATTGCATGTGTCTTTGAATTACATAAACAATGTAACGGGATCCATCTCCATTTCTAACCATGAAGAAAGTGACCCCATTTTGGGGGAAGAACGATCATTTTATTGAGGTCATTTGGAACGATGTATACGAGACAAATCACTGTGTCTGGGAGGACAGGCTGTAACAGAGTCTACTAACTTAATGTGATTTTTCCTGAGATCTTAAACACATCACTGTGCTGTGAAGAGACACGGAGCCAGTGACAGAGCTCATGGTGGGGGCCAGGACAGTTGTGCTCCGCTGGAACCAGGCCTGATGGTTACTACTTATATTTAATTAATTAATTAATTAGTTAATTAATTAATTAATTTGGAGACGGAATCTTGCCAAGTGGCTCTGCATAGCCCAAACCCAGTATGTAGATCAGACTGTCCTAAAACTCATAACTATCCTCCTGCCTCTGCTTCTTGAGTGCTGGGATTACAGGCATGTGAAACCATGCCCAGCTTTGACACATACTTTGGCAGGCCTGTTCAGATATCTAGGGCAGGCAAGCATCTTTATGAAAGTCCTGGGGAGGTGATTATTTATTTCATCCAGTCATTGCCTCCCTTCCTGGTCCTCTTCAGAGAGAGATGTTTCAGGGAACCACAAGGAATGGAGTGTGTCACAGTGAATGAGTGTGTTCCACATGCTCCAGGAGGCAGAGCGAGGACCAGCATGGGCACCAGAGATGCTGAGAGGTAGAGAGGTTTTTAACAAGAATCGTCTACATACATCCCAGGAGGCAGTGCGGGGACACCCAAGCAGACAACGGGAAATACCAGGATCCCACAGGGCTCTTTCCATTCAGAAGCAGAATGCCTTTACTGAACATACACACTCCTCCAAACACGCCTGAGTGCTCAGATGAAAGATCCACTGAAGAAACTACGGCTCCCAGGATACCTCTTGTTCACGCCTGGTGCCTTCCTGGATGTAATGCAGGATGCCTACCCCACTGGCCTTGTTCTCTAGGCATCTTGCACTGAGAAACAGCCAGGGCCATTCCCCTTCACCCTTCAGATGCCTTCCTCTTGCCCTTGAAAGTTCCCTGACCTTGCCACTCACCTGTAAAAGCAGCACAAAATAGTCCACGGGGCGGCTGCGCTGGTAGAGGTAATGCTCCGGGGCTTTCTTATTCCTCTCATCAAACTTTAGCTCCTGGATCACATTGGGATGTTTCAGTAGCCGGAGCAGGATCTTCTCCGAAAGGTACAGAGACTTAAAGGGCTCCACTTCTAGAAGGCAGCAGGGGGTGGGGTGGTGATGGTGGATGTCAGCACTTCATTACCTCCCCCATTCCAGCAACAGAAGCTGGGAGGAAGCAAGGGCAGCAACCAGGGTTTCATCTAGAACAAGCCTGCTAATTAGGCTGGGGGTTCTGAAAATTCCTTGGCTTGAGGAATTTGAGTTCCCAGTGTGCATCCTGGAGCCTTCCCTACCTATGCCTTTTGGGGGTTACTGTAGCTTCATTGGCATCTCAGGAAAAACAGGTCACTCTAATGGCATCTTGCCTTGCCAGTGAACTTGTAGTAGTGGCCACAACCTTTGGGTGTGTTTTCAGGTGCAGACAGGACCCCCTTAAGATAGAGGAGGAGCTAGCGTGGGCTCTCTTGGGGCCTGGAGAGTGTCAGAAGAGCATCTTCTGGAGAAGGAAGACCTCTGTGGCTATTTACTCTTACCTGCGTGAGTCCTTCCCTAGTAAACATACATTCGTCATTTATCTAGGGTCTGGTGAACTCATTTAAACCCCTGCCTTCAGGTCACCATTTGGGAAACATCAGTATTGCTATGAACTTCCTCCTTGTTTTTATTTAGAGTTGTACCTAGACAACTGAGCCACAGACACAATAAAGATCTTTAATTTTACAGTACAGCTCCACACAGGGAAGTGAGTCTGGTTTTGGATAACATTCACCTGCTGGGTGAAATGCAACGCTGGGTTAATGGAGCCCGGGAATTACTTAAATATTAAGTTGTCAATAATGTAAAATATCATACTTAACTACTAATAGACATTATATATTGACACTTGCAGTATAATACTAAGAAGGTAAGGCTGCTTTGCTTTGGGAAATTGGTTTGTGATGAAAAGAAATTTATATTCAGTACAAGATTATATGTTGAAAACTCTTTTGTAGGTAGGCTCTACCTTAACAGTTGCCCACTTTTCAGCACCAGGAACTAGCACTCATTATAGCCTCAATAAATACATGTTACATTAGTAAAAATGGAACTTAGTGATGGATGGATCATTCTAGGTCATCATATTAATTAGGGCTGAATGACATCAAAGTTCAAAGGCAAATGCTGCCCTTTTCAAAAGAAGGAGCTTGATCCTTCTGCTTTTCTTTCTAAAGGTACCAGGACTCTCAATCAAGTTCTCTATTTTATGGATTCATAGTTCACAGGCCTACATGACTCCTGGAAGGGACCGAAACACAGGGGGTTGTGACTTGGTAGGATAATGCTTTTCCCTCCGGGACACCCCGATTCCATCAGGACGGAGGATGGCCTCAGGCTCGAGCTAGGAAGTAAGCAGGGAAATGGAAGTACCACAGTGGTTTCCTTAGCCCTTTTCTGGCAGAAACGAGAACACTCACTTCCTCTCCACAACACAGTGAGGGAGGGAGCTGGGAGCTTACCATGTCACACTACAGGAGGCAGCTTTCTCCTGCAAACAGTGTGTCTCAGTGCCAGGGGCACACAGGAATGGGGACAGAGGGCACTAGAATATGTGATGCCTGCTGCTACCTTAGATTCTGCTAGCAGTGCTAGGGCAGGGGGTGGGTGGGGCAGATCCTACCTGTGGCCATGAAGCGGTGTGTGGCGAGCAGCAGCTGTGGTGAGATCTTCACTCTGATCTCCGAGTCTGAAAGCTTGAACAGAGAGAAGTCATGCCGCCTCCTCTCCCGGTGTGGGACCCTCTGTTTTTTCCGATTGTCAGCTATAGGGGCACAGGGGAAAGTTGACACTCAGAATCACTGTTGGTCTTTGGAGGCTTACACAGACTCTTTGGGACCCCCCACATTCTGCAGTGCCAACTGTAGGAGGCATGATCCACTCTCTCCCAGTAGGAGACAGGCAGGCAGCAGATGGTTCGGGGTTGTTTGTGCTTAGTTGGTAGATGAAAAGGGAAAAAGCTGCTGGGGGGGGGGCGTGTTCCTAAGCCCAGAGTTCTAGGACTGGCTCCCTTACCTGATAGCTGTGCAGACTCTATGCATTAGCAATTTTGATTGTTTTAATCCATACAAGAGAGCTTTGATATTTAGTAGCTTTTCTACCTGTGTAGTTAATGCAAGATCTCAATAAGCAACTATACACGGTGCGTTCATACAAAGTCATACAAACATGAGGTGCTGGTATTCTTGGCATTAAGGGGTTTGGGGTTTCTCCCTCTGTCCTCTTCCATCCCCCAGAGCTGGGCGCAAACATTCTCTTTCCTGTGGGCTTAAGCCATGCTGTGAGTGGTACCTAAGGTATGTCACTGTTTACCACTCACAATTCTCCTGCTTCTCCCCAGACCCTCGGAGAAAGAATCATGGGAAACTCGAGGGAAAAGAAAGGGATTAAGAATGCATATATTTGGCTTTGCTGGCGGTCTACTAGGTATTCAACAAAATCATAGAAGAAAACTTCCCCAACCTACAGAAGGATATGCCTATGAAAGTACAAGAAGCTTACAGGACACCAAACAGACTGGACCACAAAAAGAAGTCGCCCCGACACATAATAATCAAAACACCAAATCTACAGAATAAAGAGAAAATATTAAGAGCAGCAAAGGAAAAAGGCCAAGTAACATATAAAGGCAAACCAATCAGAATCACACCCGACTTCTCAAT